ATATCAGAAAGCCACTTCAAGATCACACTGCTTTACTAAATTCTACAATGTGTGCTTATCTCCAGCCCAGTTTTACGCAGTTTATACCCATTTCTTCATGGTTTGCCTTTTCCTTCAGTCTACCTTGTTTTCTGCCTAGCTGTTCACCAGTACAATGTATTTATAAAAAGTAACTGGACTGTATTCAAGTCTTCATTTTGCTAACCTAAGCAAGACAAGTTCTTCCAAATGCTGTAGGCATAGACTTTCCCACCTGCCTGGTCACTTTAACAGCATGTTTTTTATGGCTGATCAGCTTCCATTCATCTTTCTTGAGCAGGGGTGATGTGAATGATACTCAGCATCTTGCCTAACACCCGTAGGAAATACTTCACTGAATGTGTGGTAAGATTTTGGGGTTTTCACCACACAAATCTTTCCCATGAGATTTCAGTTATTTCAGTTAGTGAGCTCTGCATTTCTGACAGATGTCTGTCCATATATAAATTATTTTGGACATTGCACTTATGTTTGGGTTTGGTTTTTTTTTTGTTTTTTAAACTCCACTAATCAGCTTCATTCTTTCTTTAGGGTATTTTGGTCCTACAGTCTTTCAGCTCTGTATCATCTACAGGCTTCAGGAGCGCACACCTACTTTTTTTATGCCAAATTTAATGAAAATTCTACTTGAGTTCTACATCCCAGTTATATCTTTCCCATTAGTTTTTCTTCAATAACTGCCTCTCTTCAGTAGCCACTTCCTTACCCACAATGTAATTCCTGTAGTATTAGTGCTTAACCTTCCCTAGTGTAACTTGCACATTTCCAAGTGTTGGAGATATCTGATATAGAATTCCGTATTTCATGAGTCAGCTGGGTTTGATTTCTGGGATGAAGAATATCTGGTCAGACCAATATGAGCCCAGGAGGATCTTTTGTTTTTACCTCAATCTCATTTTTAGCTTTCATCCTACCTGCTGTCTTGCCCTTGCTCCTGTATGCATCATAATCCTTGGCAATTCATTCATTTACTGTTGACAGCCCACTTAAATGATCTAAATTATTTCTCACCAATCACATTTTTTTCTTAGTTCTCCTGTTACTTAATTGTTTTACCGTTTATTCTTGTTCCTGTGTGAGATACAGCTCAGCTCATATTTTGGCAATTCTCAGTTGATCCCTCTAGTTTTTGACCTGAAAAACATACCTTTCTCTTCAAGTATTGAAATACCTATGCAAAGCTTCTATCGTTGCATTACAAAGAAAACCAAATGAAACCCAAAAACAACTATACGTGCTCCAACTATAGTCCACAAAATCTTCAAACTCAGCCAAATCAAAATCAATTTTTGCTGGGACTCAGTTTAGCATCTTTTTTTGCCCAAGGGCTATTTCCCTGCCAAGTTGCTGCTTTTGCTCCCACCCATTTCAACATTCTTCAGACTATTCAAAATTCAAGTATATATGAATCCAGTCTGCATTTATATAAATAGAGAAGGTAGAAAAAGAAGTAATAGCACTGATCGAATTTTAATACAACATGCTTTGAACAATTCTTTCCTCCAGTTCTACCCCTAAAATTCTAAGGAGGCTGTTTCAGGTAAGTGTGGAAAGGAAATGCTACAGAGACATCTAGAGACATCTGTCTTCTAGACAAGCAGTGGGTTTTCTGCACTTGCTATATTTAACGTAACCAATATTCTTGAAGACCATTAAGCAACCAAAGCACCAATTGTTGTACCCAGAGTTGAGAAATCACTGTAGTGTACCTGCAGCATTCATGTGGCTTAGAGGTTTCCACAAGTGAAGTTGTATATTTTTTAGAATAGTTATATAAACAGTAAATCCCCTTTGAACAGGGGAGATTCTCTAAGCACTTCTATGTGCTGTTACTGTCAACATTAGCAACTCCTTCTCACTGGGGAATTTGGATGCGGTATGAAAGTTGTGTTCCATAAAATGAAAACTAAAAGGGCTCCTTATGACAGCAGTTACCACACCTCACTTAGGTAATCCTGAACCATACTAAACACTAGTGTTTCTAGCTTCTCTACTACTAATTTTGCTCTTCAGCCCAGAGCACCTCAGTAAGAATCTGTTCAGGATCCTTTTCCATGATATATGCTGCATTCTAATCCTCGATTAAGAACTAAGCACTGGGCAAATTTGTAGCTCAGAACTGCAGTACAGGAAAACATGTTTGTACTGAAAGAAAAGTGGTAGGAGGGTGAGCTTCTAGGCTGGGCAACAAAGGAAAAAAGAGAGGAAAAAAAAAAAAAAACACACAAGAGGGGTGAATGCATCTGCAGGACAGGTCTAGTCCAGCATCTCTGTTCAGAGAGATTGTGTTGCCTATAAGGAGTTAGCAGCTCTTACAATTACATTGGCACACCACCTTGGAGAGGTGAGAAGTAACAGCCTGTAGTTAATTTGCCAACAACTGGTGTTTTAGAAGAAGCCTGGGTTTTATTAAAGGCTTTGGCTCAGGACAGCAAACAAGACTGGTTCAAAGCCCGCCTTTAATATCAAGTATCAAGGTTTTTGACTGTCTGGAAGAAAGACTCTTGAAAAGGACTGGATTACTACAGACCACTAAAAAACCATGAGTAAGATTTCTCTATTAGGAATGTAATGCTAATTAGTCTTTTTGGGTCAGCCTGGGTGGGTTGGCTAATTAGCAAAAGTAATATACCCATGTGATTGGCCTGGAGTGTGGGTGAGGTTCCTGGAAGCACCAGGTGATATCTGTTGAAAAAAAAAAGGATGTGTGGGTGGTAAAATCAGGACAGCTGCAGTCAGTGACTAGAAGGGGGGAAATACACCTTCAACAGAACGTGTACAAAGGCTCTCAGCTTTCAGAACAGTTGAGGTAAGGATTAGCAAACTTCTGTAAGGTTTATCGAAAGCCTAATTTAGGATAAAATAATTTCTTTGTAAGATGGAGAGATATGCAGATTGTGTAAGTACGGATGTTGTCATGTCAAGTCAGTTTGGTGATGTGTGATAAAACCCAAGACCATTTCAGTGCAAGAACAAATGGCAGATTTGCTTCAGCCTCAAGGCATGGAGGAGACAGAGGCCCTGGAGACGTTGTTTTAATGTTAAAGTAGATGTGAATTTAAATTGCCAGCCTGTGTTTTTAGTTTCTAAATAACAAATAAGTTCTACCTCCATAATCTTTTGTTTTAGAAGGTAAATAGCAATACTCACAGCCTCCCTACCCATCTTCTGCCACAGCACAGAACCATGCAGGTTGGTTTGGGGCTCTTTGTAAGGCTTAGGAAGTCTACCATGTAGTCATCATAGTAACATTCCTTATAAAATATTGTGCATGCTTTCTTACAAAAGCTACATGATCTGTTTGATCCTTCAGAAAGAAGCTCTTGGAGGTCCTTAAGCACAAGTACTTACAATTTCCCTTTAAGAGCACGCTGCATGTGTCCCACACCACCCCCAAAGGAGACCCAGGCTCTCTCCATAATGCACAGCACCCAAGTGCCCTAAGGGCATCCAGAGGAAGGTGCCAGTGCATCAGAACAATGGTACTAGAATAAGAGAGGAGTTTACTCCTCTGGGGCAACTTTTCAAGGTTTTCTCTTGGAGCTAATTTTCCCAGGATCCAAGGAGTTACTAATGTCGACGAGAAGCAAAACAGAGAAGACTTTAACCCTCACTAAAGCACTTTAAAATTTCCTGGTGCTTGTGTCTTTGCTTACAGAAGTCTCTTATTTTTAACACATCCTCATCCTTACAATGATGCTTAACAAGAACTATGTAACTGGCTCAGTTAATGTAAGGATCAGATTTTGCCTCATTCATTATGTGCATATCATTTGGTAACTCTGAATAATTAGTCTGGGACCTGTCCTATGTCCTTTTATTTATGTAGCTGGAGCAGACAAAGTAATTTACAACAACTACATACAACAGAGTGCTGTTGTCCTGTAACATTTAAAAAGTGTAATTTTCAGATTGCTGTACAGGAATTCACATCACTATGCATAAGATTTATTTCTATAGTTCTAAGACCAAATGCAAATCTCTCAGAAAAAAAAAAAGATTTACAAGAAGCATGTTTAATTAATTTTGCATTTACTATTTAATACATTTTGGGATTTTTTCCCCTCTTGGCAGATGGCAATTTAATTTCTGGATCATTTAAAAAAAAAAAAAAGCTATTATGTCCAATGATTTAACATATTTCACTTTTCAAAATATTAGAGATGGCCTTACACAAAGTTTGGATTCAAATACTAATATTCCCAGAGGGTGTTCTGCTCCAAGGTTTTGGTTCAGGCCCATCTTTTCCTCTCAACAAGTATACATTTGAAAAGGATACTGCCAAAAAAATCTCCTGTTTTGAAAAGTTAAGTATTACATGTGTTTCTAATAACATGGTAGATGGAGTAGCATGAAGTAATTTCAATAATTTTTATTATTTGTCTGTGGTTTTTGCTTCCTTCTTTCATTTTGCATAGCAAAGCAGCTAACCTAGAGAAATCCATCTCCCTTCCCATTTACAGTCAGTGAATCAAAATGAAACTATCACTAGCAAAAAGTCCTGCTGTGCTAATGCTTCCAGGCACAAGTGAACCCAATTAAAAATAAACTATTTCTTAAATTACGCAAAGATATCTGAAGTCCATTTTCTATGTGGCCTATCCAAAAAAAATAGAGCAGAAGCAGTGAGATACAGAAAAGTCATTCAAGGTGCTAGGAACTGAGGGAGAAAGACCATGCACAAATTGGGGTAAGATCTGAGGAGGCACTCCTCGTATAGAGATGGCATGCTGCAAAGGGAAAACAATTATTTTTTTTTAAGGACTCAGCTGTGAATTAATCCAGGATTCACATGTTATGTCAGACAGCAACTAAATTTGAAAATGTTTTCTGGAATGAATTAGAAGTATACGTTCAGCCCCAGCCCATAAAGAGGTTTGTAATGAAAGTAAAGACAAATTAGTGGAAAACTGGAACTAAGCTACTCTAATATTTCTTTTGTTTTCAAATGTGTTTTCCAGAGTGGATCACTAAAGGAGCCAGAGCCAAACAAAATCCCACCTCAGCGACCACCACCTCAAGGTTGTTTACAGTACATTCTCGACTGTAATGGCGTTGCAGTAGGACCAAAACAAGTCCAGGCTACTTAGACAATTGAGACTAAAAGCAGGGGTTAAAGCAAAAATGGGGGGGAAAAAAAAAAAAAAAAAAAAAAATTGAAAGAACCAAACACACGATCTTAAAAGCAAACACACCAGTTTTGTTCAATTTTTGCATTGTTTCAGTGCTGACCTGGACTGTGTTTTTTCTATGCAGTGTCAACTATACCGTCTGGTTGTTTCCTTGTTCACGTCTGTGCGTGTAATGCTTACCTACCTTTCTCTGTAAAATTTGTGATTTCAGGGCTGTTGTCAACAGTGTACAAAGAATGTGCCTCTCTAGACCCCAGTGCTACTGTACATGATGGATGGTTAGACAGTATTTTTTGAGTATTATATATCGTTCAGTAAAATACCACCAAGGTGCAAATCTAAATACTTTTGCTTCCTCTGTGTGTGCACACTGTACTCATAGCCTTTATTTTTTTGTGTGTGTGCATGACCAATAGGTAGGTGATCCATGATATATTTTTAAAAGTCTAGATTAGAATTTGCTAGTGAGGCTTTTTATTTATAATTTTATAAAGTTTGTTAACATTTGAGTTTTACTTATACGTGGGTGGAAGTCTAATATTTCTGTGACTCCATAAGATACAGTTCTTCCCAAGGAATATTCAAAATATCTTCTATTTTACATACTGGTATTCATATTTTTAGTAATGCTGCATTAAATTATGAGCTACAAAGCTATGTAAATGGGCCACCTATGTGCAATATCTCAGTGAACGTGTGAGTATTTAATGTATCCTATTTCAATTAAATAGTACCTTTTGTTGTCATTCTGAATTAGTCATCTACAGAGATTTTTAATGGAAACTAATGCAAATACTTTAAAAAAAAAAATCTTATACTTATCTAAGAGTTAAATCCCAGGTTATTTGGTAAGAAGTACCTCAAGGACTGTTAAACTTCCTGTAAGAGCTCATTTTTTTAAGATACTGAGATGTTAGGTGATGGTAGACCAAGGGACCTTTAACCGGCTAGGGAGCTTGCTCTTTGAGTAGAATCCACGACAAAAATGTCAGCCGTTTTCTGTGCCAACTCAGGTCTATGTTTTAAACCTAGACATATCCAGCTAGCTAGAAAGAAAATTCAGGCCCAGAGTTATCCACGTAAATAGGGTTTCTATTAACTGCCTGAAATCAAACATGCAAAAAGACTCGAGATGGCTGACAACTGCTAGATTTTCTGTAGGTAAATTATTTGTGATTTTTGCATAACCGATTTATAATGTAATATTACAAGAAATACACTGTCAGGCAGTTAATCTGTTGTGAGAAATCTAGCCTAGAATCACAAGCTACACAGGGCAAGCATACCATAAAGCTTAGTTGCAAGTGAGCCACAAAACTATAATTTTAATCTTGAATAGGTACAAAGATCAGTAGTGGCCATTAGTTTAGTGCAAACAATTTTGTTTAAAGGGAAAACAGCCTTATGTTCTACTTCTGTTTTCCCTACAAACACTTGAAAAAATTATCAGTGAGAATCATCATTCTTAGTGTTTCTTTTATTTGTACAAGCTGGCTGGTGAGATGAGAATTAAGGTATGCATTATTAGCTATTTAAATGTTTGTGGTAAGTGCTACTGTTTACTACCTATCAGCAAATTACATGAATATTTTGCTTCAGTGATCAGCGTTTGTCTGAGTCAGTGATCATTCCAATGATGGCATTGGCTATTTTTATTCTCTATTAAGAAAATTCCACTTAGAATCAGGTTCAGCAATCCTTACCTCCAGACACTCTAGAAGTGAATAAACCATACTGCCCTGGGGTGAAGAAATGAATCTGATGACTGATTTTATTTAAAGCAGTTGGTATTTTTTGCATGTAGTAGTGCAAGTATTCACAAGTGCTTTTCACACGACAACATTTGTGAGTTGGGTGTGCAAAGAGGAGGTGGGTGTCTCAGATAGGAGCTCAGCTTGTTGACTGTAAAGGATTTACAAGGGCACACACTATTACAGCATACCACAGATGAGAAGCAAGCCAAAATGTCTCTCTGCATGTAAGCATGCTTAGGTGCAATATTGTGGGTAACAGGGAACAGATGTTTTACAGTGTAGGCTTAATGTTCAGTTTTGTTGAGTTATTTTTGGTAAAAGTTTCTTTCATGATTGTTGCCTTTTGTACAACCCAGCTGCAAGAAAGTGAGCAAATGCTGGAAGTGTGACAGCAGTATATCTTTTATGTGAAATATCTTGTACAGCTTAATGTGCAATAAAAGAAAGTTATATCTGTCTTCAGTGTAAAGTTTCTGGCATTCAAGCCTGTATGTACAAGTGGGGGAAAGAAACCTTTCTGGTTCTCAATATTGAGTGGAAGGATGCTAATAAGAGAACAACTTTTATTTAAGATGTTGCAAGACCATGTTATCACCTTCAAATATTTCCTGCAGAAGTGGTTCAAATTAATAAACAATGAAGGCACATTCCTTAACATACAGTATATGCTATTTATCTTTCTACACCACAACACACTGCTACAATTGTATTAAAACTTATTGAAGCGTTAGTACATGCTGTTCTCAGACACATACACTGGAATCTCATATAGTAAGTGGAAAGCTAACTATAATAGCAATTAAAACAAATAAAAAAAAAACATGCATTGCAGCAGTGCTTCCAGATATGAAGGTTTTCTTCTGGAGACCTGGATAGATGAACTTTTTACTTGTGTTAAATATCTATGTAAGACTAAAAATTCCCAGATGTTCTAGATCAGTTGTCTTCTATAATATTTACTGTTCAGCAAAGCTCTTGCCCTGACTGAAATATTATACAAACTGCTCAGAATTTCAGCCTGTCCTTTCTTCCCCTTAACTCAGATGTCCTGTGTGCCTTGTCACATGCAAGAATAAAAATTCAGTTATAACAACTAAAGGAAACCACATTCAGGCATCTGAGATAAAAACAGCATGCCCACTGATATCTGACACAGCACTATTTCAGTCAGAAAGCAGAAAAAAAGAAGCCCTGTATGATGATGTAGCATCTTTCAGCCATGGATTTCACAAGCTAAATCTCCACAACATGTTGTAGTTTCACACTTGAAGCAGTATTTTGCCAGTATACTTCCTTCTCAGTAGAAAGATCTCCTTGGTAAAGAATTAGTAGTGACTTTCTTGTGTTTCTTGTAATGTTCTTGACATATTTCACTAAGGGATTAAATAAATTACCAGAAGACTTTAAATTAGATGGAAAATGTCAGTATAAAGTTGTTTTGCTGCTATGAGAGTAAATCTAAGTGGAATATTACAGAAATAATTTTAAAACTTTGATGGAACAAAACTTCAATAACAGCACAGAAAATAGTACCTGTATTGCTGAAATAGATATTACTGGTAAATTCAATTATCTTGCAGTGTCTCCTTGAGCTAGGCCAAAATTATACTGGGCATGACTCCACTGACTTGATTTGAGGTCTGTACTGCTACTGCTGTGATAAATTTGGTACTTCTTAGCAATTTTAATGCTGAATTGTAGCGGCTCCAAGCAAGTTACTAATGTACCAGCTGTGATGACTAGTGTTGACTCCATGAAACTGCAGTCCATGTTAATAGAATTTTTTCCTCAAAAGTAGAATTAATCACATTCAAGGATTATTTTATAGTGTTGGATATCTAGTAAGACTTCTTTGATGCTATAACATTATGAAGTTTTTCTTGTACTGAACCTAGGGGGCCCAGTGCAACCCCAAGGAATGCAATCCCAAAGCCAGGAGCCATTGCAGCCACCGCGCATGTACCCCCCTGGGCAGTCAGCAAAGCCCTCAACCTCCCAGCCACAGCGTCCGCCTGCACCTACAACTCAGCAGCCACGTCCCCAGGCTCAAGGTCCTTCCAGCACCAGATTAGCAAAAGAAGCCGAGCCACAGCCACAGCCAGCTCCACGGCCAGCTCCACAGCCTGCTCCACAGCCTGCTCCACAGCCAGCTCCACAACAGAAGCCTCAGTCTCATCCACAGCTTAAGTAAGATATGCTTTATCCCTTTTCTCCTCTCCTCGTAACGCAGATTTTGTTGTTGTAACTGATTTGGGAGCTGGCCTAATATTGAAAAAATGTACATATGTTTGCAAGTCTAAACTGAGGTTATAAGATTTCAAAAAGTTTATTCTCTGTTTATGATTATGATAGACAGTATCATTAGTGATATCCTAAGCAGCACACAAAATTTCATGTACTACTTGTGCAATCTCTGCCCCAGCCACGTCTCAAAACTCATCATCTTTTCCTATTTGTTTTCTCCTTTTTATGTCCCTGACTCATGATCTCTGGAAGTGCTGTAAGCCTGCACAGAAAAGAGGAAGTCTTATCTGTTTAAACTTTTCACCTTGCAGTCACTCAGACAACAGATTCCAGTTTCAAAAGGCCTTTCTCAGGACACGCTAGACAGGGACTGCCAAGCTGCGGTTCTTCTTGTAGCCTGGCATGCAGTCCTTTTTTATCCCTGTAACACAGGTCCCCTTTTCCCACCCACTCATATTTTAATACCATTGTGAACCAATTCTGAGTCCTTACTTGAGCACATCAGTGGAAAAAGGTGTTGGGTAACAAGATGACAATATTTTCCTTACCTTCCTAGGACGGTGTAGTTCTCTATTCTGTTTTATAATAATAAAACTCATTTTAATTCGCCCATTATTTAAGTATACGTAGAGTAGGGAGGTGGATTTTCTTAAGCAAGATGAAAACTAGTTTATAGATTGAATCTTAACTTGTGAACTTCAGACATTTAATACAAGTTGAGAACAGGTACAGAAGAATTGTATCACGTACTGTTTCCCAGCTTTCTCCCTTTCCTTTAGTTCTTTGTTCAAATCTAGCTTCATTTTCCTCTTCTTCAAATGGAAGAGAACAGTCTTTAAAATAAAATAAAGAAGGAGAAATTAAAGCTTTTAAGATACAAGCCATAATAAGAGTAGTCTTCCTAACTCCCAAGAAGCAGTTTTAGGTCCACACCAAGACTCAGAACTCCTGCCTGTAGGATCAACTCTATTTGCATGTGTATGCTTTGTATTCACCCACATGCTGTTGCCTAACCTGTATGTACATGTTATTAATCTGTGAATAAATATTTAATTAGGCTACTTATTGTGTTACTAATCAAGTCAAGTGCTGCTTCCCACCCTCCCTCTTTCAGTGAGTACAAACAAACATTTATCAGTCTATTCTCATTAGCACAACTATAATTTATGAAAGACCTAAAACGCCTGTAGCACTGTTTGCTGTACATTATTAGTTTAGAGGCAGAGAAGCTGCAAACCATGAAGAGTGTAAGACAATCTGAATAAGAAAAGTGTTTCAGCTTTACTACAGCCCAAACTAAAATCCTGTTGTTGTATGGAGATGAAAATGAAATCAGTTAACTGGTTTTACCAATGTATGGATGTTTTTGTAAAGAGATTATAACTCATTAATGTTTTCTATTTAACTTCAACCCTACTTTTGAAATATTATATCTGACAAGTCGTGAACTAAAGTTTTAAACTTCAGATATCGTCCTTCTTCTACGTTATTTATATTCACGTTTACAGACACTTATGCTGTAGTTACAGGATAGTACTAAAACCAGGATAGCGTTGGTAGACTAACTGCTTATAGACAAGAAAATTATACCTGATTTGGGGAATTTTTTTAAAGATAGAAAGTGTCATTAAGCCTCCATCAAGAATCAAATGTCCAATATATATACAGAGAGAGCACTTTACAATTTTAGAATTCATTCTTCAAACTCTTGCCAGTAGACTTGATTTTTCTTTGCGCATACCTGTTTGCAGCCTTAATGAACAGAATTATTAATTATCCTGTGCTGGGTGGCGATTTGGATTTAGCAGGCAGGCCCACTTTTTCCTCAAGTTCTAAGTTATAACGCCCAATTTTCTGGAATACATTTCAGATCTGTAAAAAACGCAGCATGTCGTCTAAAGATGATCCTACATCTGAAACCAAAGCACAGGAGGAACATGCTTTGTTGCAGCAGCTCTGTATCCTATGCCCAACTTTATTGCTTGTCTTGAGTGTCCGTTTTGTTCACATGCAAACTGTCTACATCTCATGGACACTTTCCCTTTTCTCATAATTTATACAAGTTGTATGTGGGTGGGAGCTGGTAGAGAATATGACCATACAAAACATGTTGCCTTTTTGTCTTGCAGCAAGTCGCAGTCTTTGACAAATGCCTTCAGTTTCACAGAGTCGTCCTTCTTCCGGTCATCTGTGAACGAAGATGAAGCAAAAGCTGAAACTATTCGAAACTTGAGGAAATCCTTTGCTAGTCTTTTTTCTGATTAGCCAGCTCCATCTAAAGGCACCTAGCATATAGTCTAAAAACTATGTGAATGTTCCATAGGTTTTGTTTTCCCTGTGGCAGTACCCTTCTCTACTGTGCTAACTGTTGTATTAAGCAATATGTTAAATTTACACAAAAAAAAAAAAAAAAAAAGATATTGAAGGACTTTGATGCGATACCATCCAGGAACATGTATAATGATCAATAAAGAAAGGAGGGTTCTATTACTAACACAGCTGAATTCTAAGGTCCTTATCCATTGTAATATTGTGGCCTTACTGTGACTGAACTATATAATCCTATTTGAGACTCCTTTGTAGAACTGTGTTAATAAAGCATTGAAGAATGGGTTTGTCCTTGCTTGACCCATTTCCAATGCATTGCAATGCATGTGTATTTTGTGTGTAAATGTTTTGTACTGCAGAAGTATAGTCTTGACCTGTTCTTGCCTCCCAAATTTAGGGGGCAATTCACACTGACCTTGTCAAGCCACACAACTACCATGAGAAATTGAAGCAGTTTCTTCCTCCTTATACAATCTTTCCATCAGCTGGTTGTAGACTTCTGATGTATTGCTGAGAGTTATCAGTACACTAACTTAATGTCATAAATAGAGTGTATTATGTACTACCGTATCTCCATATGTCTGTTTATATTTATTTCCAAGCTGTAACCATAACTGGGTTTAGTTGCAAAGAATATGCATGATGTTACCCTTATTTTTGTGAACACCCCTTAATAAATGTAAAGTCCCATGCCTGATTTAAACAAATGTCTTCTACAAAGCTTGTTTCACCATCAATATATATGTTGTCTACTTTGATATCAAAAGGGTAGCTTTATGATTATACAATATTTGGACATAAACCACACCTGTAAGAAAATAAACTATAGCAAATAATTCCCTGTTTGAATCACCATCATAAAAACTATACATTCTACATTTTCTAGGAAGTTTTGTGTTTTAAAAATACTTCTCTAACTGGCAAAACCAGAACTGATCCCAGATTGATCCCAGACTTCAAGGTAATAACAGTTTTGGGCTTTTTTTAGTTATCTAAATCAAGCTAATCAATCAAGTTCATTACTGATCTCTAGACTATCCATTTCTGAATTAGGATCATGTCATTCAGCCTATCATGAATTACACACAGCAGTATTCCTTGCCAGGGAACAGTGCTAGCAGGGGAAACAAGAAAAATATCAGTCATACTAGCGTGTGTGAGGGAGAAAATGAGCAACATAATGTTAACATAAAAACCCTATGGGATTTGTAATGGGTTTGTAGACACATCTGTTTGCCTCAGAAATTTTACCTCCTGTAGGTCTGGTAGTTTATGAAGTCTAGGTAATCACAATCACCATTTGATGACATCAGTCCTTTCAGCAGTTTTGTATTCCTTCGGGTGAAGAGCCTGGCTTGGGACAAGAAGTTGGCAATGAAGTATGGAAACTTTAATCTCCAGTGATGTCAGAATTTAATTTGTACACTAGCGTCTGATCACTCTCTTGTTTGTCAACATAGTCAGAGGTTGATGATCTTAGCATAAGTGATTCCTGAAAAGCAGGCATGTCCAAGTCACAGGCAATGCCACTGACACCCTTTTCAGACTGACAGTGAGGACTGACTCAAGCTCATACTTGAACGCTCGTGCCTAGGTCTATGCTGTCCTCCAGGTTAAGACTATAATGAATTTTTGGGTAAGTTTGCACTGCAGCATTACAAACGTCAAGTCCATAGCATTGCCCTCTCTGAGATAGAGTCTTGCTCACTCTGTTTGGCAAATAACCCTCATCTTTGTCTAGAAGCCCTCATAGAAGCCCTTCTGCTGAATTAATGACAATTCTCTTTTCTTTCAGGAGGAATGTACTGTGTACAGAAGCTTGTCGTTTAGACAATAACAAACCTCTTTAACTGTTAATAGTTGTTTTAGTCCATAAATGCCAGCTATACTTTGATTTTTCAAAGTTTTTCCCCCCTCCTGCCCCCCGCTGCATTGAAACACCCTTCACTGGGCTGAGCAGTCCTAGAGCCTTTCATGTCTGAGACGCGCTTTACTTTTAGATTAGAAAGATTAATCAAAGTTGCTAACGCAAATTAATTACTGCTACAGAGAAAGCATAGTAATTATGCATAGTTTGGCATGGTTCATGATTAGTACATGCCTAGTTTCAGCAATATTTAGTACAATGTGAATTGCAGGTAGTTCATTAGTCCAGGCTCCAGATTTCGACTCGAGGCAAAGTTTCTCGCTCGTATAAAATTCCCTCCCACCTCTTCCTGGGAGAAAACGTGTTTCACTACAGCCTTTGTTTTACCATCTGGAACAAAAAAAAGAAAGAAAAGAAAAGAAAAGAAAAGAAAAAGAAAAAAGAGAGCAAGATGATGCAATCAAACCTGCATGGTGTATCCTCCCACACAGTGTACATAACACATTGCCTCTCCACAATGCCAAAACTTCTTTATACCTCCAAGCGTGCTAAAGCGTGTCACACACAGGCCGATGCATGCTTTTGTTCCTCATGCAGTGTTTCATGGTTAAGACATTTTTAAACAATCTATAACACATCTCCAAAATATTAATCAGGAAAAAAAAAAAGGGTTTTCTAAAAAGTCGTTTCGAACATTTATTGTCCCTTTTGTCTCGTTTCATTAAACAGATTGCATCTGAATTCGTGTGCAAGCTCTGAGTAGCCAGTTATCCAACATAATGCTACCTAGGGTTGCATAAATGGTAACTTAAGGTTTCTACTTCACTTGCACCTTCTCCATGCAAATGTAGTTTATGATACCATAGATTTCTGTGCACAACACAGCACCATTTTTTCCATCTTTCACTTATAAATCGGGATAAAATGAAAGCTACAAGAGCTGCTCACCAAATCTAGTCTTAAGGTTGGAATGGAGCCATTTTCTGACCATTAAGCCTGAAGCCAATTCAAAACACTGGAGCAGATTTCAAGAGATTGTAATTATGGACAAAGTGACTAATCTAGCTTTGAAACAACCACTAGCTCTCCAGTAAAAATTAGTCAAAATAGTACTAAGGTACTATGTAAACATTGTCTGTACTTTGTACACTTCCTACTCCACAAGAACAAAGTCACTTCCCTGAGCCAGTGTTGTCTCAATGAACAGATCACATCCAATAAAGCTTCTATTTACAAAACTGAAGAAGTCATTGCATATCATCCATGCATTGACACGGCTGTTGTTGGTATTTGGTTGAAGACTACAACTAAATCTCCTAGCAAGTTGTCCATCGCCAGCAGCTTCCAGTGAGCTTGGGTAGGATGGAGGCGGCTGAAGAAGTTCAGCATAGGAAGCTGGACCTCTAGTGCTTCTCTGGATCTCCCACTCCGATGCCTATCTTGGAAACCAAGACAGCCACACAGCGATTGTCAGGGATGATATGGGATCTGTGGGAGACCTTGGCTCCACTCAAATGGCAGTTGGAGGCTGGGCAGAATATACCAAGGTGATCCAAAATGGCACTAGTTGCCAACACTTGGGACTAAGTTTCCTCCTCTGCCTGGACACTCCTCCATCTTATCCTCCAAAGCCATTCCAGCATGGAGTAAGAGGCAACTTAACTGTGCTCAGCTTTACTTCTTCCTCTGGCAAAATAAAGCTGTTTAGCAAGACGGTGCTGCAAACAAGGAAGCATTTATGAATTTTGATCACTAGCAGAGTTTATTTTTCCGTACCAAAAATAACCAGAGGTGATTATTGACTCAGAGTAATTTAAGAAAGATGATCTAAACTGTTGCATATGCCAGTACAAATGAATTTAAATTCTGAATGACAATACATGTGTCTCCAACATGGAAGAGCTTTTCATTAGACATACATTTCTAAACAATAAATTTTTTTTCCAATTTCTTAAAAGTTGTTTTTAAAATTTCATATCAGAAGTTTTGAAATAGGTACCTAAAATTAGTTGTTCACTTTCCAAATAATAAATATATGTAAATAAGCTGCCAAATTTGCAAAATCCTGTTTTCCACATTTCGTCTAATTCCTTCTTGTTTTCTAAGGAAGGATACTCCATCTCAAGATGATAGTTTACATTAAGTTTCATGAAAAACTGATTTTCAGTTAGATCCTTGTAGCTCAAAAATTAGCTCAAGAAAGACTGCAAATAATATTTAAATCTTTTTAAAAAAGACAAATATTTCCAATAAGAAATAGAGTATCAAGTGACGACTTTAAATTTAAAATAGGCTAGGAAGAACAACAGAACGTTTACTCCCCTGTTTCACTTTTAGATAGCCCAGGAGTAAAAGAGACATGGGTTGTTTTTTTTCCCACTTTATGTTAGAAAGAATTAGAAAGAGGATCAATAAAAGGAAGAAAATCATTAAAAAGGCAGATTTTGTCTTTTTGACTGGGACTGGAGTTTTGACTTCTGTTAGCAGTGGCGTTGCTCAGAACTTCCAAGGGTAAATGTGGTGTTTAAAAACTGATCCACTTCACATTACTTGACATTGACATTTCCCAATACAGGACATGCGTTGTGAAGAAGGTAACAGCCTTTACAGCTAAATTTTTCTTCTATAAAAGTGATGGATGGTAACAGAAACCAGGTAAAATGTGAGATAACCTGACAAGGCTTAGAATGGATTAATTTAGAGCATAATTCTTTACATATGGGTTTTGTTAGCATTTGTCTCTCCCCCTAATCATTTCAAATCTACACACACGTGCCTTTTTTGTGACCAATCCCCATTAGCCAAGTTCTGCTTCAAGGATTTATCAGCTCTGAGGAGTAGCTGAGTTTTTTCTTTAAAGAAGGTTTTTGAATTGCTGTTGTTGTCTTGTGCTGATCTAGGCTTCCTAACACCATGAAGACAGTAAAAGTAAGTAGTAAAAAATGAAAGGTCACTGTTCATCTTCTTCTCTTGCTTTCTTAACTAAGAATAAAGTTTCAGTAAAAGGCTATGTAGATTTTAAAAGCACTTAGGCAAGCAGTGCACTTACTTTAGTAAGTCCAGGTGAGGAGAAAAAAAAAAATACAAAAGAAAGAAGTAGCACATGTGGGCTGATAATTTTTTATTAAATTTGAGAGGTACTGTTCGGAAGTTTGTTACAAGTGGTTGAGTAACAAACACTTTTAAGAGGTGGTCTTGTAT